GCGTGAGACTGAGATGGCTTCTTTCTGAGGGGCTGAGGCATCTCAGACAAGAGGGACATTGTTGGGCTCCTCCCAGAAAGACTGCATAGACTTTTCTTCAGAGAGGGACTGTGACCTCTTCTCTCAAGAGATCTAAAAGGGCTCCTCCCTGAGTGCCTGTGAGGCCTCCTCCCCAAGCGCCTGTGAGGGCTCATCCCTGAGCGCCTGTGAGGGCTCATCCCCGAGCACCTGTGAGGGCTCCTCCCTGAGCACCTATGAGGTCTCCTCCCTGAGGGACTGGGAAAGGTCCTTCCTGAGGGACTGCATGGGTTCCTCCTTGAGAAACTGTGGCCTCTCCTCTTAAAGAGACTGTTATGGCTTCCCTCAGAGAGACTATAATAGGTTCTTAGAGAGGAGCTAAGACTGTTTCTCTGGGAGGGACTGCTATGACTCCTCTCAGAAAGACTCATAAAGGTTCTGTCAGAGGGACTGCTATGCCTTCCCCAAGAGGGACTGTGATGTCTCCTCTGAGAGAGATTTCGCCGATGAGTTCTCTTAGGAAGCCTGCGATGGGTCCTTTCAAATGGCTTATTACATAGGGTTCTCTCCCTGAAGAAGCCATGTTCTTCTTTGTGTATGGGTTTCTTTCCAAAGTGACTCTGCAGGGTTCCTTTCAAGACTGGGTTAGACACAATTCTCTCTTGGGCCTGAAATTTGGCTCCATCTTTAGAACAGTTCTTAGACTCTAGACTGAATATTTCACCACTGTAAACATTTTGAACTCTCTTCACAGGTTCTGGGACCAAAGTAGCTTGGTTAAAGAAATCTCTTCCACAAACCACGGTCTTCTGCAATTGCAAGGGTCTGGGTAGGAAAGGGCTCTCTTGTATGGGCTGTTGAGCTTGTCTACAGCACTCACTTGCTTCCTGCAACTTGTCCTTTTGCTTAGGGGTTGAGAATGTTGACCTGTGCCCGACAACTGGTGTCCTGGCTCCTTTGCTATCTCCCATTAAGCAATAATCCTTGGCTCTTTGTTTGGGGTGCAAGTTTTTGACTGACCACAAATTGTCTGGCCTCATCTTGTACTCAAGTTTCTGTCCGGTAAAAGTCACAATTCTACGTGCTGCTTGGAATGCCTTCCTCATGCTGTGAAAAAGCAGTTGGATGAATTTGGGTGGGGAGGATTTCTTAGGTTGTCTCTTGGAAGGAACAGTGCTTGTTTGGGTGGTTTGAATTCTGCTTCTTAGCAGACCCCTCAGTGTTCTAGGACGACTGCCTTTTGTGCTTGTACTGATTTTGTAGTGATTTTGATTTTTGTACTGTAGTGATTTTGATTTTTGTACTGATTTTGATTTTGTGTTTCAGGTCCCGTGGCGATTTTCTTCACTGGATATGTTTTCATAGACACTATGCTTTCATAGTCACTCTCTGATACGGAGTGAACCTGATAGAATTCATAGTCTTTGGCTGTTGTCTTTCCTGCCACACCACAGCGGCTATGCCAATTCTTTAGTTGAGTGTGAACTTGTACAGAAGCAGGAGACAGGGAAGATCTGGACTGGAAATCTCTTCTAGGACTAGGACTCCTGGAAGCCAGTGTAGACAATCTAGCTTTCCATCGAGATGGTGATGCAGCACTCTTCCGTGGATTTGCTCTGTTTCTTTCATACTTTGAGACTTGAGGTCTTTTCCTAGTTTGCAATCTAAATCCAAGATGCAACCTAATCTCACCATGGCCTTCGGGGGTGCTTAAAAGGTGGAGTTGTGGGTAGATAAGAAGGTATGGCCCCAAAGCAGACTGTAACTTATGACGGCAATTAAATCCTGAATATCGGCCACATTGTAAGCAGATGGGATACTTTAGAACAAAGCCTGACGCTAAAGGTGGAGGGACATTGTGGGGTATTTGACTTCTTAGGAATTTTCCTGCTATTTTTAGCTGTAGTTCTTTTAGCAGTTGGAGCTGTTCTGAGATATCGTTCTTGGACTGGGAGAGAGAACTTGTCTTGAGGGAATGCTGGGACTCAAAAGTCCCAGTCGGTGAACCACATGGTGAGATTTTACTCTGCTCCCTGCAAACAGAATCTTCCCTAGTGTAAAATATCTCAAGAGTAGACTCTGATTTCAATGAGGCAGGAAACCGGGCCCCGGTACATGACACAGACACATGCTCAGCGACTTCCTGGAATATATCGCTGAGCTTTGAGCTTGCTTTCTTTCCTCCTAATCTAGTACCAGAGTATTGCTGTATTATAGAAGACATGGAGCCACCTGTCCACATCTTTAGAGGCTTTTTTTTCTCATTACTGTGACATAAAATATGTCTCTGGATATAGTTTTTAACCACTGAAGTCTGAGAAATGGTCCTTGGAACGCTCTCTAGCAGGCTTTGAGAAAATTCCATCAGTTCAGCTGGAACCCCAAACAAATTTTCAATAGATTGACAGATGTCCATAGTGGAGCCTTCTGTTAA